CCGTGCCGCACAGACCTGACCTTTATCACTGTCGTTCTCATGAAGACCAATCAGAGCCCGGACCACTGGATTCTCAGGGGCGTGGCCTCACTCTGTGACATCAATCATTGGCCGCTGGTGGACATGGCTGGGATGATGGTGATGCTGATGATATGTTGGATACACACACTGTTTGTGTTGTAACAGGTGTGCTAGCATTGATCTAGGCTGAAATAGGATACCTAAACTGGACACAATAAGTTGGTCAGTTTAGGTTTTATTGATATAATCAACTCGTCGTGGGCCACATTCACGATTATTTGGTCGCTTTTAAGTACAAGGGGGCTATCCCCAAAAATGCTGTTTTGAGAAAGTCGAAGGTAAAGTTTTTGCCCCTTGTTCAGTTTCTTTAAAAGACAAGGAGAGTTTTCTCGTATGAGCAAACAAATACACACCAATGAAACCAAACTTCTTCTAGGGGTAGGGCAAAGTCCATTTTTTGGTGTAGGTCAAGATTTCTGGAAAACCCCGAAATCTGGGATAGCCCACTCGTCCTTAAAAGCGAACAATTATTTGTGGGACTCGCAGGCCAGACTGAGTCTACTCGCAGTTGGCCAGTGTCTGCTGTAGAGCTTGGAAATGCGCCATATAAATGCAATTATTGATATTCTGTATAAACGGCGTGTTTCACCCGTACTGTGAGGTTATCAAGTAGACCCCCACAGGGCATCGATGTTGTTTGTTTGTTTAAGTGTCTGTTTTGTTTTGTTTTGGGTTTTTAAATCTTCCCATGTTTCCCCTTTTATTTCGTTAAGCTGGTGATAAACCTACCATGTTTCACTCTTTTAAAATGTCTTGCACTGGTCACCAACACTTAAGAGGCCTTAGAAGGGTTCCACCCCTTGGTACTCCAGTCGTGCTTCGACTCGTTGACACTAATAGAATTATTGTTGTCTGCATTGTGAGACTACTAAAAACAGTGTGAGACTTCGCTCATTAATTTTTTGTGTGTGTCTTTGCCTGCTGCAAACAATTTAAAATATTAAAAATGAATTGAAGTAACTCAGAGAATAATTGTCTCGTAATTTTCTTTCTTGCTCAAATTTGAGATGTTAAAAAAAATAATTTCAAGAAATTCCTTGCCATGTTTCATGACTTGCATGCAGACAACATGAGTGTAGGTCAATGGCCTTCTATTTATAGCCTTCTTGGAGCAGGTTTTATCAACAAGCGGCTTGTAGTCCTCTGTAGGGACACCCAGCCCGGAGATAAATTATACATGTACAGCAAAACTTGTCATTATTCAAACTCAAACTTAACATTTCTTCATATGAATAGAAATGATAAATAATTAATAGCAGGAACAGACGACTGTCTTGGTTAGGCTGAATCCTGTCTATGACCACCACATACAGGCAGAGGGACAGACAGAGGGACAGACAGAGGGACGGAGAGAGGGACAGACAGAGAGACGGAGAGAGGGACGGAGAGAGGGACAGACAGAGGGACGGAGAGAGGGACAGAGAGACGGAGAGAGGGACAGACAGAGAGAGAGAGGGACAGACAGAGGGACGGAGAGAGGGACAGACAGAGGGACGGAGAGAGGGACAGACAGAGGGACGGAGAGAGGGTCAGACAGAGGGACGGAGAGAGGGACAGACAGAGAGAGAGAGAGGGACAGACAGAGGGACGGAGAGAGGGACAGACAGAGGGACAGACAGAGGGACAGACAGAGGGACAGACAGAGGGACGGAGAGAGGGACAGACAGAGGGACAGACAGAGGGACAGACAGAGAGAGAGAGGGACAGACAGAGGGACGGAGAGAGGGACAAACAGAGGGACGGAGAGAGGGACAGACAGAGGGACAGACAGACAGAGGGACGGAGAGACAGATGGACAGACAGAGAGAGAGGGGGGAGAGTGAAAGAGAGAGAGTGAGAGAGAGTGAGAGAGAGACTTTCCCTCGTGTTCTTGCAGACTACCAGGGCCGAGGTCGACTAGTTTGACAAGGTAATCAAAAGAAAGACAAAGAACCAGATGGAGCCCACAACAAAAAGCCAAAAAGCTCACCACAATAGGAACCTAATCCATAAAATGTATTATTATTATTTTTTAAAATATTTTTTTTTGTGGGGGAGTGTTTTACGGCGCTTGCAACTGCATAAGGTCACATGAGCGCGCGGGACACACCTAACATTTTCAGTTGGTAGGAAATGTTGATTGCCTGGGTGACGGCCGGAGCCTACTCTTATCGATTTTGGACCACCAAGGGATCTTTAACGTGCGCAACTTGCACATGGGACCTCCGAAATTTTTCGCACTTATCCGAGAAGGCTATGTGTAGATCTTTCCTTCCAGAAGATTAGGGGTGTGGCTGAAAGACACAGCAGTAAGAAGGAGCCAAGGAGAATCAGTGGAAAGGCCGCAAGAAAGAGTCAGGGGCAAAGGAGGTGTAGGGTGGGGGCATAAAGTGGAAACGAAAGCAGAACACAGAATATGGTTAGAGAGCACGAAAGGAGGTGAAAGGAGACAACTTTTTTAAAGAAGAAAATTTTTCGGTCGCTACCCGGATTCGAACCCGGGACCTTCGAACGAGAGGTGAACACTTTAACCCCTAGGCCACG